CACCGGGCCCACTGCAACCGTCAGAATACCTCCACCATCCGTGCACAGGTGAACGAGATTACCATCTGATTGACAAACCACTAGGCTACTGCCAGAAATTCTCAATTGTTTGCCCGCTGTTGCACGAAGTAGGACAATCGGCCAGATTGGAGGGGTGAGAGTCAAGCCAACGGGAAGAGATGAAATCTCTTTTACATCCGGTAGTACAGTAACCAGATATAGGCATGGTGAGCGTCGTGTCGAAAAGGCTACAACAGAACCATCCTTCAAAGAAAAGTGATTTAAACTGTCTCGGAAATGGGGTGCTACGGCACTAACATGGCAATAAAGGTTTAAAACAGAGATAAGTACAGTAGCATTGTCATAATCTATGACTGTGATGTGATGCCAACAGAAGCTAAAACGCGAGTTCCAGAAAGCAGTCCCAAAGAAGATGTGATCACTGGAACAAGAAGTTTATTCGCTTGATGTTTCCGATTCTCATTCGAACCATCATCAGGGAGGCATAAGGAGTACCATATATACAGGACATAGTTTGCATGCGACTAGATTAAAAATTTTAATTAACCGCTCTCGCGCTTACCACTGGTGTTCGTGGTTGATGCGATCATATCTCATCAGTCCGCATACGAGTCGTTAATTGTGGCGATTTCATCACCCGTTTTAGAGGTTGGCGTCATCATTGCTAGCCAATTTATTTCGCTGTCATGGGAATTGTTGGTCACTGGTACCCACCCCACCTAACTGACTTTCCTGTCCAGGTGGAGTCTCAGCACAGATTCTGGGTGCGGGAAGTCATTGCGCTTGTTATTAGACTATGGGCCTCAGAACCAAGACGTGAGCAACTCGTGGCTAACGCGGTCGTCACCTCTTGTGAAGACTTCAACCACGTCAAGCACATGAGTGTGGCCAGTAGCTATTGAATGAACGACACCCCAATAGCTGACATAATTCTTTCTCGTTGTTGCTGCTGCTGTTGCTGCGTGCTCAGCTATTTGTGTCCAGATTACGTTCCCAGTTTCTCCAATGTAGGTGCTTTATCCGTAATTGCACCGGATGCTCTCGGACTTATGAGACCAGATGATATGTGCTGTGTTTCCAAAGTTTTTCTCAATATACAGATTTGTGTGGACAGTTTTCGTGGTAATACATCCTACTACTGTAATAAATGCACGTATTTATATGCAGATGCACGGATTAGTGGCGAACTTCTAGAAAAG